TGCAAGCGATTTATCATGGCCGAATGAGCTATGTGGTCCAGGTCTTCAGTGACAAGCCTACGCTCTGCCCGTATGAGGGTTTCCTTACCTGTTATCGTGAAAGGAAATTTGCCAGCCACCATTCATGTTGACATCCTTGCCGTTGCGAGGCTCGATGTCGTTGGCGACTACGAAGATGTTATCCGGCTTGCTGCCCAAGAGTCTCTCCAGCAAGGCGTTGATGATGGGCGCCATGCCAGAGGACAGCACTACTATGGGAACGTTATGTTCTCGTGCCCATTGATAGAATGTAACGAAATGCGGATCGTATTGGATGTTCTCTTCGAGGACGTGAAGACATTCGTTGAACGGGATTCGCACGCTGTCAAGCATGGTCTGGAATGACTCCCTGGTACCGTTAATTACTGCCTGGTTTCACTTCGCACAGCTCAACGCATCGCTTATCTTACCGAAACGTTATATTTCCTTTCAGGAGTTCCAGCTCCAGCACCTCGCGCTTGTCCAGCCCAAACCCATGATTGTCAACCTCAAAACGTCAGCGGATGCTCCCTGCATCAAGATGGGGCCCAGTACCAGGTAGTCATTGCCTGTACGATTTCAGTAATAAGATCACGAAGATCCAGGTTAGAGATGGCTTCTTACAATCTTGCAATGTGATAGTTCCATCAAAATCCGTGAAGAATATGATCCTAGGGTTGTTCTTGAGATATGGCAGCTCGCGCATGTCTGCGAATTAGTTTGTAGTCTTTTCCGGTTGCCTTCTTTTTCCTTTTCTTTTTTATTTTAGAGGGAAAAGGAAAAAGAACAAAAATTAGAGAAGATGATCACGCAATGTCCAGTACCCAGGACTTTGAGGGTATTAAAGGCAACAGGTACTAGTATGACAACTGTCTACGCAAACAGCGTTGATCTACATACCATGACCAAAAGCGATTTTCCGTCACTTTCCAGTCCGACGGAAAGAGAATATGGCGCAAGCAACCCTGCATTACACGATCGCATGGGTCGGATTTGGATAATCTTTCCTTAATGTGGTAACTCCGCATTGGTTACATTCCATCAAAGGTAAAGAGAAAAACTAGACCACTGTGAATCCCTGCATAAGCAGCCAGAGCAAGAGGGCTTTAGAGTAGCTTTGTATCAAGTTCTTGCTTATATTAAAATTACTTCTGTTTCTCACATGTCTATAAAATATGAGTTTAAATACCAATAAGCTATTATATTCGAACTTACAGAGCGTTTATATTAAGTGAATAGAAAAGGAGAAGCAACTAAGCTGTCATTGTAAAAGAGCTAACTTGTCGGGGCAGGATACTCGTCGATTCTGCAGGGAAAGCAACGGATTCGCAAGCGGTAACAATACGTCTGTATAGATACAGAGACCGATATTCATCAATCGTCAGTCGACGCTGAGTTTTAACCGTCTACTAAAGGTCGATTTCCTTAGACGAAGGAGACCCCATACTCGGCCCCACGACCCTGCGCTTTCGCCAAGCTTTTTGTAGAGCTCCTCCATGTTACTATCCATTACAGTCTTCATAATATACAGGAAATCAAAATGACTTTGTTTTCCCCCTTTTTCCTTTTGTCTCTTTTTCGTCTTTTTTATTGTTTTATTGTTTTTTATTATTTTTTCCCTCTTTTTTTGCGCTTCCAAATTTGGTGACGATTCGTTTTTGTAGACCTTTCACGCGCTGCTCGCGCTTTCCCTATGGATCCACGCATACCTCCAAGCAGACGACCATGTCAGTATCCGAACCACTGTCCAAATTGCTCGATAAGAGCTGGTTTCCAAGACTGCCAAGTGGGTTTATGGGTGTCTGACCCAATATCCTCATGGTCATAAGGGCCATGATCCGAACCATTCCCAACAGCGATTAGAACTGTCTTAGCTACGCTAGGGGTACCGTCCGCGTTAAGGACGAACAACATCCAGAAACCGGGAATCGTGATTCCAGGTTCACTTGGGATAGTAAAGTGGTACTTGTGTTGGCTGACTTTCTTGAGTGAAAGAGGAATGCGCCGTTGGTCGGTATTCACTGTGTGAGTGGTACTTCCCAAGCGGATAAAGGAAGCGCTGGAGACGTCGGAGTCTGTTCGAATCCACCCCTCCTGTCCAACGTGAAGCTTTTTACCGGAGACTGAGATAATTTTAGGGCGTGGGCGACGATCTCCCTTGCTGTCAAGGAGGTAAGGCGGAGTGAATATCTGAGCATCGTAATGGTTGGCCGTGCAGTTTCCACAAAGACCACCACCGCCGTTGAGAACGGTGGCATCGGGGAGTAAGATAGACCAGCTATGGTAGACGCGGATAAGGTTGTTGGTCTGCAGCTGGATAAAGCTGTTGTTATGAGGAAAGTATAGCTCCGGAGTCAGCTGTACATTCTCCTCATTAAAAGCAAGCCCGAAGGTTTGGCCGCCTGCTATAAACACAGTACCGTCTGGCAAAACGACGGCTGAGTGAAAGACGCGCTTATAGTGCATCCCTCGTCCGTTTTGCCCAGCTACTTCAACCTGAGGTGTCTCGCAGGGTTCTCCAATTGTGATAAGGCGAGCATTGTTCGTGGCGTGGGACATCTCATAGTCTGGGGAGCCACCCAATGTGAGTATTTTGCCTGCTAGTGCATCAAACATTACAGCACTGCCAGACATAGAGTCTTCATCTCCAATACGGGGACCCGCAGGGGTAACCGTGCCATTACCCCCAACATAATACCAATTCATAGCCTTACTAGGACCTGCCTGAAAGACAGACAAGTTCTTCCAGCCAAAGAGCCAGCCATGATTATCGGCTCTCCACCTGCCTTCGGTATCATCTGTTAGCATAGGATCAACCTTGGCTCCTGGAAGCTTAGTCCAGCTTCTAGTCTTAGGGTCGTAAATCTCTCCATCTTTCGATCTACTTGAACCGCCACTCCAAGAGCCACCAATGACAAAGACTCGTCCATCAGAGACTGTCACGGAGGACTGGTATCCACGACGCATGCGCATCGGGGGGCCGGGGATCCATTTATCCTCTACAGCATCATAGAGGCTAGTCTGCTCCGCATCATTACCACCTGTTACAACTAGCATTCCGGTACCATCAATAGAGGTCCCCGGACAGAACATATCATGATGGGTATCAGTCACCACACGGCTTGAAATGTGGCCTCCAGTCGGGTCCCATCGACTCATAGCTGTTTGCCCGCCAGGGGTGGAGAAGTACAAATCTTGAGCCCAGGATGACCAAAAGGCTATCTTACCAGATGCCTCATTCGCCACCGATACCGGCACAATCGGAAGATCGAGAGTTGGACCCCAAGCGCCAAGGGACGGATTCTGAGGGATAGCATAAGGCGTTGCGTAGATGCTCATCTCGGAGACACCAACCCAGGATTGGTTCGTGCCACGTGTATCTGCAACGAGCCGCACATATCGAGCCGATTTAGGTTCAAATGTCGAAAGCTTCAGTCTGCCTTCCTCAGGCCACATGCCGTAAGAGACAGGGTCGCCCCAGTTGTTACCATCCTCGCTCAGAAAGATCTTATGTTGGGTGATCAGACCTTGTGCGTCTTCACACTGCGGCGGCAGCATGGCGACAGCACTGACATGGTAGGCAGCTCGACCCAGGTCAACTGTGATAACATGTGAAGACTTTTTGTCACGGCTTCGCCAGTAAGTGCTATTATCACCATCAAGAGCTTCTTTACATTCATCTTCAGAGCCGCTGTTGCAGAAGACCTTCCAGTCGGTACGATCGACCAAACAACCGCTGTATGGGGGCGATTGGTCGGTGAAAGAGGGAACGTAGGACGGTATATCAGCCTTAAGTGAGACATTCTGCGCCCCTAGGGGGTTCAAGGAAGGACGACTGATACCGTCCACCCCTCCAGTGAGTGCAGCAAAAATCAGATATGGCTGGTGCGGCCGCATGTTGATAATCAGATTCCAAGCAAACGATGAGCATTGCAGTGAAAATAGTAATACAAGACGGCGAGAGGTTTCCCCATTGCTTACCTTTATAAGTCAATTATTCCGAGTACTACAGTAATAACCGTGGAACGACTGAGGTAGTCGGTTGGGGAGGATGTGGCGCTGATTTTCTTAACCCCCATCTCTCAAGCAAGTGACGTGTTATATGCCTTCCTCGCAGGTATGAATAGGCACACACCTGACCGGAACCCACGGCGTCACCATGTAAGGGAGATATGGATGTTGTCTATTTGGCAAACTAGGGTCCAACTATAGAGCCCTTCTTGTTACGGCGGAATTTTAGTCTAGATGCGCGGACAAGTCTAGCAATTCGTTATCTATTACATTGGCCCCCCTACAATGATGTCATCTGGCCGCCTATATGCATCGGAGCACACAAGTTCGCTATGTGGAGTAATCTCACCGGTCATGGAATTCTAGCCATAGCTTGAAATTCCCTTTGCCGGATCCGGCGGGAAAGCCGCCGTCAATCAAAGTTATACTAGACGCTAAAGGAGCTAAATGATGACGCCAAGATTTACGTTTGCGGAGGAAGCGTAAAGAATGACTAATGATTGGCTAATTCTGCAAAGAACCTATTGGTAGCTTGGAGCTTAAAGCGGGCAACGCTTGACCAAAAAGATCTAGACAGAGAGATCTCATACTTGTACATGTATTCGGATTACCGACCACTGAAATATCCGCTCTCCTTGGTTCGTACACTCAAATCAGCTGGAGGACTAGAATGCTCGATCAGCTGGAAAGGCAGCTGGGATTCACATCCTAGATGAATCTGCGTGTAATTATTGCGTAGGTCATTCCCACAGCAGAAGGTTATGCAGTCATATTGGATTGGCAATGATGCTTGTATGTATAGAACCTCACCTCTTCAATGGCAGTTAAAATAGCGTGTTCTGGGAAGGTTCGACGAAAGTCAAGTAAAAGTGACATTTTAAAACCCGCAATTGTACTCTGACGAAGATTGGCCCTATTTCTTGCTTGTTCGCCTCCGACAAGATATACGCACAACTTTACAACTTCCCAATATGGCTCCCTTTGATCTGGAGAACATCCAGGGCGATATATGGTAGGTGCCATCCCTTGCAGATAAGGTTGTTGCAATCATCCATTGCTGACACGACCTGGATTACCACGTAGGCCCGGCCTGCCCAAACGACAGGAGGTATTTCTGTTTTTCCGCATTGCGGATGACGCGAGTCAACGGCAGAAGTTCAAAGAGTATCTTCGGAACCTTATTCCTGACATCACAACTGCCAAAGCTGTTTTGGACGCTAGAGCTCGCATTCGCGAAGAAAAAGACAAAACTGCTGCCGATGATGAGGCCTCGAAGCTGTTGCCATGGTCCGGTGTCAACATTGCCTTTTCTTCTACAGGTCTAGCTGCTGTAAGATATTCTACATACTATTACATGAAGGATCCATGTATGGTGTAGAGAGTGTGCTAACACTTATACTGCAGTTGGGAAAGCATATAATGAACACGAAAGTAAATATGGAAGAGATCAGAAGAGACCCGGCGAAATGGCGCGAGCTGAAGAAAAACCAAATTCGCGGGGACTTGTTCGACAAAGGCATGTTTGACGACTTGGTTTACGAGGGCTGGGATGATCCGCAGGAGTTACGTCGAGAATACAAAAAAGACCCCGAGACAAAACAGCGGCAGATTGACGGAGTAGTCTTCGTCGCTTCAAGCACACAGAAGCAGCTGGAGAAGGCCGTTGGTCTGGTCAAGGAGAAGCTGCATATGCGTGACATTGACGATGACATTGATGAGGATGCTGCTTGCAAATTGATTTTGACCCGAAAGGGAAAGGCGCGACCACGCCAATTGAAAGGCAAGGAACAGTATGTGCATCATGGAGAATCCCGGTTCGCTCCAATCAGATCTGACCTCATCTCAGCTTTGGCTTCCAAGACGGAATTTCACAGCCCCAACTCGAAGGGCTAGACCCACCCCCGAAGGGGGAAAAAGAGCCCAAAGCCGTCCCTCCAGGGTAAGCCCGTGTCATACATCCTGTTTCCCCTGATGAACTCTGGTGGTAATCCTGGCCATATGCTTCTGCAACTGGTAATGTTAACTACTACTCTTCCAGACTCATCCTTATCGGGCACGACGGTGACGCCTTGAAACAACCCGCGTGGACCAAGGACGGCAGCTTCATGGTTTTCCGCGACCTGCAGCAACTTGTTCCTGAGTTCGATCAGTAAGGCAATCCCTCTTTCAGTGCACTGTGCTTTGAACACTGGGCTAATGGCACTGGGACTGAAGATTTTTGGAAGACAATGCTCATGCATCTCGGAGCACCGAGAAAAGTCCCGCTTCGGCTAACAAGCTCGGTGCGCTCATAATGGGGAGGTGGAGGAATGGTTGGTCTCATTCTTGACTTACTCATGTAGTTCACTGACGCATGGCCTTTCATGCAGGAACCCCTGTTGATCTGAATCCGCACGATGATAATGATCCTTCTCTTTACAGATCAAATAACTTCAATTACACTCCAGTTGGATCACATGATAGGTGTCCTTTCGCTGCGCATATCCGCAAAATGCGTCCCCGAGCTGATCTCGATGACGATGAGGCAGTCATCATCCGCCGTGGAATAGCCTATGGACCTGAGGTCTCAGAAGAAGAAAAGCGAAATAAGAAGACAAGCAAGGAGCGTGGTATGCTGTTTGTCTGCTATCAAAGTGACATTAGAAACGGATTCAACTTCCTGACTACGCGTGAGACACTCCTGAAACCCATTTTCAGGTTTTCCCCCGATGACTGACTGGGTTTACAGGTTGGGCTAGCAACCATCACTTCCCAAGTAACAAGTATGATGCTGTCGGCCTCAGCGGACCGGGAATCGATGGGATCGCCGGCCAGCGTCTCGCCCACCACCCTCCTCGAAACATGGGCTTGCCAGACGGCAAGAAGCCTAGTGAGGCACGCCTGAGCCTAGGGGCGTGGGTTACCCATAAAGGGGGGGAATACTTCTTTACTCCGTCCCTCAAGGCGCTTCGGGAAGACCTATCGTCGGCTCCTTTGCAAGCAAAGCTTTAAATCAGTGGTGATGATATAGTAGCATGCCATCACAAGTAAAATCCCAGTAGGTGTTGATGATCTTTTAGGCAGATGAGCTGTATTTACTATGTTTGCTAGTTAGTCCTGATTAACATTGACTTCTGCAATAGCTTTTATAATCAGATTTCTCTCATAGTACCTTTATCAGATTACACGTATTTTCATCCTTTCACCAGTATTGGGCTATAGCAAAGGAGATCTGATTGTGAAGTAAATGCAGACTAATATTAGGAAGGGGCAAGCTGTGTTAATGACATGTTTAGTTAAGGAGCTCCCTAATCAAGTGAAAAGTAGCATATGTAAGTAGACTCCCTATATTACATATAGAAGGTGATGCTACAGTGTGACCTTCTGGTTTAGCTTCCCCCTATGAGTAGTAATCAGCATAGTTCAACTGGACGCGAAGCCCTTCCAGTGGAATATCTCTATTCCTGTGGCAGATCGATCGTGTTTCGCTCAAGTGATAAAATCCCTGGGCAGGGCATGACCTTGTGGTGAATAAGAAGATACGTAAGTCTTTGATTCGTGTCCTCTACTGGTACTGACGGGGCTATATTTTATCCCTGCTGGTAGTGGCTCTATCTCTATTGTTCCTTTGGAAACTACTTTGCCAATTAGGAGATCATACCTTTGCTGGATTCTATTTCAAGTGTGGGCGTCTTGGGTTCTCTATTGCGAGCGTCTACTTTTTGTTGCAGACATGGGTGTTGCTGGAGCTGAATTCCATGTCCTCTCCTTTTGGTTTGTAAGCTGTCTAACTTGCCTAGTGAGTGCTGTTTATCTGTCAAGGCTAGACCGTGAACTTACATGACTGTAAGTTTTAGTAAGGGTTAGATTTAATTTTAGCAGTTCAGTTATGTGACTCTGTTAATAATTGTAAAGGTTAGGAGAGTAGGAGAGGAAGGGGCTAATTGAATAAATTTATAGAATAAGAAGTTATATATATATATTACTACTTAATTAATGATTAATATAGCTTATTAAGACGTCCTCGGTCTGGTATCATCTTGCTCTTATTAAATATATTAGTTAGATGCTTCTATGGTAGAGTAGTATAACTAAGAGCTATAGACTCTAGGTATAACTAATAGATGCGGATGACTTTAGGTAGTAATAATAATACGAAGGATCATCCATGGACTCTAGGTAGAGTGGATATAGACTCTGCACTTACTAGACCTTATGGTCACCCCTAATAAGTATGGTAACTGTGCATCTGTGCCCAATACTGTTACTACCTGCCCTACTATAGCTCCGACTCCTCTGTCCTCTGAGTAAAAGTAATACCTCCTTGAGCTAAGGGACTAAGGATTACGGTTTAAAATGCTAAATACCCTTGTAAAACGAAGTAAGCACTGCAGGCTATTTGTTATATAGAGCCAAGGGACCTCTATAATTGTACTTACAATAGTGTGGTACTGGACAGTCACTATAAGCTACTTAAAACTTCTAGGGCAGCTCTTGCATGCAGGTAAACACTATTAGTAGTTATATTACTCTAGAAAACTAAACAGAGAATAAATTGGAATGTTTATCATGTAATCTATAGCTAAATGGAGTATAATAGATAAATATAAGTATACTCTATTATATTTTCCGCAGGCATAAGTGTTTTATAATGTTATTAAAATGGATAGAAACCCATTATATTATTTAGGTAAAGGGTGTATAACAGAAGAACCTAAAGCTTAGCTTGGTATATAACACGAGCATTAATACCTTATCCCCGAGTCCCTGTAGATAAAGCTCTCTATAAACTCTTTACTATATGTTATGTATTTGCCCATGAATTGTGAGGAGATCTTCAGGGAGGAAATTGCTTGGAACTCCCTTAAAAAGCATCTCCGTATCTATGAATAATACCTTATTTAGACTAGCCTGGATAACTAGAGTTGTCGGCCCAGATATTTCTTTGTTGAAGACGAAGTTCGGACTGTAGTTGCTGGTGCTGATGATAGCTACCATCATGATCCTAGATTTTAGTAAAACTCTAGCTGAAATCGCACAACCAATTCAACAGTAAGACAATGTGTGAATTAAGGATGTTAACCTTGCTGTAGCAAATTATGCTGTACTACTTTGATTTTATGGCTCTACATAGTTACTAAGCTTGAGTCCTAGGAATAGGGCATGTTCCGTGGTTGCGTACTAGATTTGGGTCTATGAACGCTTTTTGTGAGCAGGGTGTCAGTCCTACTACTTCTGATGTGTATTGTTTATACTGCTAATATTAATCAAGAGAAAAGAACCCACTCACTATAAGAAGTAAACATAGTGGCTGTGTATTTATAGGGATCAGTGGGGTATTGATAGGGAAGAAGGGGCATCAAGAAGACAAGATCATGCTGATGTTAAAGCTATGTTCTACAGCACTAATCACATTAATTTATAATAGATGAGTGGTCCGCACTGACAGAGTGACCTATCAGGCAAAATTAATAGACACTGGGAACCGGCCATCGGTAAGGAGGATGTTTGGTTAATTATCAAAGCAAAGGAGCTTTGTGTCATTTTCTGATACAAGTGCGTGCAGTGCAATGATTTGCTTCCATAGCAACTGAGTACTGAACCAATCCGGTCACATAACACGATGGGTACAAGCTATACCGACCGCGGTTGAAGAGCATACCTTTCTTAGCAAAATCTCATCAAAATCAAAGCTTGATAAGTTAACTGAAACAAAAGCAATAGATCTGAGAGCTACTCTAAGGGTAGCCATGGTCTCTGTTTGGAATCTTAGCTCCGATATGTAATAAATGATCCACGTAATATCTGCTAGAACAGTACAACTTCTCAACCACTGTACTTTAAGGAAGTGGTGATAGGAACATCCGTTCAATACAAACAATGATTCCTTTGTTGACTGTGGCCTATCCCGTACACAAGTAGATGCAAGAAAAGTGGAGGCAGGGGAGAAATATAAAGGAAAGGAGTCCAGGCAGAGGAAGCGCAGAGAGGAAATAGTATGATACTATGCATTGTCCAGATCTTTTCTGGTCTTTTCCATTACTTTTATGCTAGGGGAGCAGGTGGTATGACCCTCAGCTGACCTAGTCACTAAGCATGGATTGCACCTTTTCGGGCAGTGTCAACTTGCTTGCCTTTTTAATGGTGTTGGTCTAATACCTGCGGACAGGTTGCCTTTCTTCAATCCATGACGTAGTAGACCTTTTAAGCGCGATAAACATGCGAGCATGTCATTGGATCCACTCCTCCGCCACATCACACCACCACCACCACCAGCAGCCAACAAGTTCAGCTATAAAATGATGCATTTCGATCATTTCTGGTTTATGCCAACTCCAATTCTGACTCATCTGCGTCTGTCTCCATGAGTATATGTTCAATATGCCTCTAACTCGGGCACAATCTCGCACCCTAGTGCGACGCAGAGAATTGAAGCCGACCTCAGGGGTATCGGAATCGGATCAAGCCACGCCAAGGAAGCGTAAGGCACAAGAAGAGGAAGAACTATATGGAAAAGGGAGAAAACAGAAGCACTGGATGCCTACAAAGAGTACTTCGATTCCCCAAAGTGGTATTGTTAGGAGGAAGTCAGCAAAGGAAGAGGCCAAGGCTCTGGATGCGGAAATGATCAAACACAGAGCCAGGACTAATTCTCCTATGATCCAGAAGATCGACAAACTGATAGCAGAATATGGAGACCTTCCTCTCACTGACATAGGAATACCCTCACCGAACAAACCCACGCCAGAAACTATTCTTTCTCATATCCTGAATGCACTCTTGTCTTCTGCACATATCTCGCATCACCTCGCGAGGAGTGCTCTTCTCAGTCTGATGAAACAGAGTTACTATGATTTGAACACATTGAAAGCAAGCACATGGAAAGAACGAGTAGGCCTATTGGATGAAGCAGGATATGCTCGTTATGATTTTAGCACTGCCACTGAGCTCGGAAAACTAGCGACTTTGGTGAAAAATAAATATGGTAATGTGCCCTTGAGGATTTTACATAGCCCTCAATTCCCAGCTTGCTTTATTCGCACTTCTCGGCTGGACCTTGCAAGGGGTACTGACATTCATTTGCATATCAGGATCGGACGTATCAAGGATATTGCCTCTGGAAACGGATGCTGAGTTAGGACGTAAGCTCCTCAAAGAGCGTTTGAAGGAGGTCAAGGGAATTGGTCCCCTTGGTATCGAAATCTTCATGTCAACTGTGCAAGGTGTTTGGCCGTCGCTTTGCCCATTTCTTGGCAGTCGCGATTTACAGGTAGCTGAGCAAATAGGCTTGGGCAAAGATGTGAATGCCATCTATGAGTTGCTGGATGGGAACCCTGAGCAGATGGCAAAACTGAGCGTTGCGCTTACAAAACTCAGGCTGGAGAAACACATCGAGGAATTCTTAGAATGAGAAATCAGCGTCAGTAACGGAACCTAATAGCCTCTGCCAAGCAAAATTTCTTGTTTACCCAACGTTGTGCCTCCCAAAGCCTTCTCTCAAGGTCATTGAAAGTTGAAATACCATCTTGATTCACATAAAGCACAATACTCCCACAAACTGGGAAATACTGTCCATTGCATTTTTACTTATGGGAGGCCAAAAGTCAGTCCAGCTAAATGAGGCTAATATTCATTTGCCTTCCAACCATTAACCCTCCTTCCTTCTGCTTGGTCTCGAGCTACTGGTCAAAACCTAGTTCATATAATTGTGGATGCCTGACACAGGCCCGCCCCTGGGTCTGGGCTACTTTCGGCTTATTAGCTCATAGTCGTGTTCTCTTGACAGAGTATGTATATCTGACTAAGTCAAGAATGACCAAGTTGGGATCAGCAAGAGACAGATTTTTTCCACCAATCTAGCCACCCTCATCGTTATATGATGCCCTCGCTTTCCAAAGACCGTCGGGGCTCTCGGAAAAATCGATGTCATGATCATTAGGGGAATCATCGTAGAGTACTCCAACCTCCTCGATCACTGGCGGCTCTGGAATGCCGGCAAGCGGTGAAGGGAGACACAGAACCAACGTCGCCTACTAATGAAGGGTGGAGAAAACCGGCCGAGGTGCCGCCGTTCATGGACTAGGGACTTGTAACTTTCAGACTTAAAACATAGACTTAGGTTGCTTGAATATCCATTGTACAGAGCTCCATCTTCAGCATAATATCTTATGTCATTTTTCCCAGGCACCTTTTTCGGAGCTGGCAACTGCTGCGCTAGAAGATAATTCCAACAGGACATCGCCACGACCTCTGGCTCAAAAAGGATAGGGTTGCCTCAGGCATTCAATCAGCCCAGGCATCATACAGGCGATATATGACCGAGGATCCCTGAAGAATTTAAGTCGGTCTCAGCTGTTCGCCGCTGTAACGGCCAGGAGTTGTGATTCCCAGAATTAGTCACGCGACGCTGGATGTTATCGTCAAACTACGCGGGATAGATTTTACACTATCTAGTAATATTAGGCCATGGCGATGTTTCAAGACGAAATACTCCAGCTAGATGTTCGATATTGTGAATGTGCATTCAAACCCCCAAAATCTTCCGTTCCGGAGCATCCGTGCCGACTCCTAAGTCCGGTTTTAGTCCTAAAGTCCGCCCTAAAACCGGACCCACACCGCGGTATTAATTGATTATAAGAAGAATGATACAATTCCCTATCCCACCATCGGCCAGTGAACCTTGACAGTTATAAAGTCTGGATCGATGCCACTACTCCTAGCTCCATTTACTTAACTTCTTGTCCAATTGCAGGTCTTTATCTTTTAAGAAAAATGGCTCGAACCGGCTCTATCCTCATTACCTTAGTTGGCATCACTACTTCAGTGGGCTGCTACATCGCCGATTGGAACGAAACCCATATTTACAACCCACGGTGGCCACCTCATGCAAAATTTCATAATGGGCAGACGATTTCTATGGGGATGATTCTTGGTTTAACGACCCTGTACTATCTTTATTGCCCAGCTACTACAATGGAGTTGAAGAGCCATTATCTGAGAACCTCAGTTTGGATCGGCAGCCTCTATTGGCTTACTCAGCTCAGCGCCTTTTTTTACCCGGGCACATTAGCGATGGACCCTGAATTCGGGCAGGGTGGACCACAGGGGTATGTCTGCGTTGTGATGTTGGCCATGCTCTGCATTGGGTACTGGATAGAGAAAAAGCAACTTAGGCCGTTGAACGCAAGCAGATTTTCTGCTCAATCAAAGAAGAATTGATAAGTTCCATGGATGTGCGAGTCAAAAGGCACGTCTGAAAATTCCATCGTGGCAGTACTCAGGTGTTTGGAGCGAAAAAGTAAAAACTGATGCCTTCATGGCCTGCATTGATTCACAGGATATCCCGCAGTCAATCCTTCCACCTGCAGCTTCAGCGAAAAAGCAAGCAGACGCAATAGGTATCCTAAAGGCGTACTCCTTTATTAGTGTACAGGTTCATGATGGTCAGTTTAGTCTACATCCCCTTGTGCACCTTGCGACTCGAAAATTAGTTGAGAGTAAATAAAACTCTTCACATTTAGGTAGAAAAAGCAGCATGCTAGTGAGATCATATTTTCCCTATTAATAACCATGGGAATAGAAAAATATGGAGAGACTACCTACTACATGTACTCTACTTAGCAAAGAGTGAAGAGTTCCAGAATTGCTAGTATAAAAACTATAGATTTCTTTGAAGGATAGGAAGATGCCTAGAGAATAATGGAAGATAAGGCCTAAATTATCTTTACTGATATCCATAGAATAGTAGAGACGGCTTTTAGACTAGAGCATCCTTAGCATTCTCAGCAGCGTCAACAGCCTACGTCTAGTGTATGAAAGACAGGGCAAGTATGAAGGATCTAAAGCCTTGCATTGATGAGCACTAAAAGTCTATAATAAGGCTCTAGGACCAGAGCATCCCTATACTCTCACAAGTATTAGCAACCTTGGTCCAGTGCTTGAACAAGAAGGCAAGTATAAGGAGGCCGACGCCATGCATTAACAAGCACTAGAAGGCTACGAAAGGCCCTAGGACCGGAGCATCCCTATACCCTTACCAGTGTCGACAATCTTGGTTCGGTGCTTAAACGACGGGGGAGATTATGCAGGGGCCAAGGCCATGCACCAGCGAGGTCTAGAAGGTCGAAAAAAGGTTCTAGGAGTAGGGCATCCCTACACTTTTAGCAGTGTCAGCCACCTTGGTTTAGTGCTTGAACAGCAGGGCAAGTATGAAGAGGCTGAACCCATGCATCAGCTCAGGTATAATGTAGGCTGTCATACAGTGTGATGTTGTACAGACTGATTTGCATATTCTCCAACCAGCATGCCACACGATGACTCCACTATATACCATATATGCATGTTTCTAATGCACTGTTAAGTAACAAAAACAGTTCTTCTCATAAAAGCATTATTCTCATTCTGTGGTGTTCCAGGTGCATACAGAAAATGTCTTCCCTAAAGCAATAGAATGGCAGCAGGTCCGTACCCAACGCGACAGGAGGGTAGAGACAATGACTAATATTACTGATGAGGCTATTAGCTTGGCCTTTTGCTTCTCTATCCTACAGGGTTAGGAGGACCCTACTAGAGTCTAAGTTAGGAATTAGGATTTGGCCCAAAGCAGGATAGCTGCGGGCTTAGCAGAGAAGGGTGTGACTTTTAAGTAGGGGTAGGATTATAGCACTAGATAGAGTTATATATATTTAAAATTTTAGTAGGTTACTAATTAACTGGTTTAGCATAATTTAACTAAATTTATATGGAATTTGATGATTTATAGATATAGTAAGGTATAGTTAATATATAGAATCTTAATATAGTTTAAGTTCCTGCTAAATAACCGACCCTTCCACCTAGCTTACAGGGTCGCCTGCATGGGCGACCCCGCCACCTCAACGTAAGGAGCCATCTCAACGTTAGATTTTTTAATGAGACAATGTTTAAAGCTTCATTATTTCCCCAAACCATAGAAATATATGTATTTCCTATAGATAAAAGGAACTCTAAGATCTACCCTATCTTTCTAGCTAGTCGCGAACGCTTAATAATTATTCTGTGATTAATTGCATAATTAATTAATTCCATCATCACTGTGCGCCATATCTTCTGTAGCTTTAACCTCTTCTTTATATTATCATGTTTCTTCTTTAGCTTCTTTATCTGTGATAGACCTGAGCTAGATACCGTGCCTCCTACCTGTATCTAATGTTTTAAGGCCTTAGATTGCTGTTCACAGGCCTTCTGCACTGCAGCTAAGTTATAGATCTCCTTAGAGAGAGCAGCAATAAGATAAGCCTGCGTAACAGTGCCCTTAACTAATAGCTTCATATTATGTATTTGATTGTAGCCTTCTAGGTGAGGAATACAATCACTAATAGTTTTAAATTAAGATACTATCTTTGGTGTGCTTCCCTAGGTCTAGGTAGTCTCATTGCTTCCCTCTGAAGGTGGCGTACACAGTTAATATTCTGGCAGGCTTGTAATCACAATATCTGGATTCCATGGAACTATCCCAGTAAGCTGGAAGCCAGCTAGGATGGTAGATTTCTTGAATGTTTAGCATCGTATCTCTGAGAGAGCATGTAAGAATTTAATCTTAGTAAACTTCCCACATCCAGACTAGGTGGCATCCGCGATAGTTTCACTATGCTAGTATTTGAAGATATTAAACACCATAACATCAAGAGGCTGAAGAATATAGCTAGTATATGGAATTAAGAAGAAGAGAATGATCTAATTTTACTTACAGAATTTAATGAATTTATAGATGATATAAGAGCCATATCCATTACAGAGAAGTAGTTAATAGACCCCCTTCTTAGATTTCACTGTAGCAGCATGGAATTACTAAATCCACTGATATGTCAGTTCATTATTGATATATCTAGTCTCAGAGATACCAATAAAGCTTCCTTTCTTAGTGTAGTTAAACCATCCCTCTATAATCACCCTTCCTGTCATGATAATTAATGGAGGGATGGTTTCACCTCCAGCAGAGATAGCCTCTACTAAGGTTATATACTTAGTATTAGTATTGCTTGGTGTGAATAGCTTCTTTATTATTTCCCTTGTCATAATCCATTGATCTTTTCCAACACTGATTCAGAAGCCTGTCTCATCAAAATTCTATATATCTTTAATGGTGATTCCCTTCTCCTGGATTGTATGCTCTAGATGATTATACCAGTCTTATATAACCTTAGGCTTATGAGCCTGCTGCTAATTCAGCTCTATAGCCCTTATCTTCCTTCTTTAGTATTCTGGATTGCGATCAAGCCATTGTTTTAGCCATCTTATATTAACTTTTGGTGGAGGGGTTATGGGGTTAGTATAATCTGCTTACAAGATCTTATTAACTAATTTGATGATTTGCTTCGGCCGCGGAGGGATAATCATCTCATCTAATATATTAATATATATCTTTAGAGC